GCTTGCCATAGGATTAATGTTATGCGTCCAGTCGCACCTATATCTCAACAAAATATAGCTTACAAGTGACAATGCGGCTTAAAACGGTGATACAGAAGTAGGTAGGTAATAGTACCCTGCAAGCTTTCTACTATGTAATATTATGTTATCTGTGCTTTCTACAATGGCCCTGGCAATATACAATAGCGCAAATCCATGAACAGATATCGTTAAAGTTACGACTATTAATAAATATTTTTTCCTTAATTAAATCAATATTAATTGTAAGGTCGTAAGGTAATCAATAATAATAGTTCCATTGGTTTAATGATTAATAATGCGATAATAGAGCAAAAGATATAATAAAATTTAATACGTAAGTTCCCATACTTACTGTTGTTATTAATATTTATTATTGACATTAATTTATATGTACAGTAATTATTGCAAATGACGATTAACATATCAATAAACGTTGAATAACAAATTTCATTGCTCGTAATAATTTACTATATCGAAAGTGTAATCATTTCATATCATTAACTGATATTTTAATGTACGTAATTGAGTTAGTGATACTGTTTATAACGATCTATACTATCTGGTTATGACATACGACGCATCCACTATATACATAGAATGGTTATACATTGCTTGTACCAGGAGAACAGAAAATCCCAGAGCACGCATTTGTTGCTTGAGCTCTAATGTATGTGCACATTTTGTACAGTTATTTATACGAGTACGTTGCGTCAAATCGACACGGCTATCATATGCGTAAAGAGTGAATTATTCCTGTGTGTAGGTATAATACGTCCAGTTCATAAAGAGAAACATCACTAGTACGCTACTGTTAAAAGTATCTAAAATTAAACGAGGTAAGTTAAGTAAAATATGCAAAACATTTACTGTACTCTTAACTTTAAAGGCGATATTCCAAAAATGTAATATGATGCATGCGTATGTGGACTAACACTCCTAATAATTTATGCGTCCTTTGTGCCAACATACGAGGTATATGTAGTATAGCTCATAGGAATTAAAGATGTTCTTAAATTACTTTATTATTCATTGTCATACTTAAGATACATTACTTCTGACAGTTTAATAACATTGCCATTGTAAATAATTTTATTATTTGAATAGCAGCAATATAACATTCCGAATTCCAACTCCACTAAGTTATAATAAGGTCACAACAAACGTTTCTTGTTATTTCTTGTTCCACACCATTAAATTGAGAAGCCTTTCTCATCGGAGTTTATGATGACTGATTATTGACGACCTCGGTGTTCTGGTGGTTTAGCACTGTCTTAGTTTTCAATAGTATCTAGATGTGAGTGAAAGAATTTTTAAACTACACAGAATCAGCAGAAGATACCGAACAAACAAACATACAAATTTCACCTCTATAATATTAGTGTAGATTATTGCAATTTTATAAATATTTTTTCGTTGATAAAAATTTCTTTCTTTCCTTCTTATTTTAGCATCATTCCAGGTGTCATTCTACAGACTCGGAATGCATTAACGTCAGTCACTTAGGAAATTATCGTTTTCCCGTCAACTTGTCACTGATTAGGGAAATCTCCCGTGTCTCAGCTGTTAACTCAATAATGAGCCAGGACAGACTCATTAGTCTACCTTAATACTAACTCTTTGACGTTATTTGTCATTTTATTTTATAATTTTATACCTAATTTTTAGACGCAATTTCGTCTGCTAAAACTTTCATTACTTCCAGATTATTATTATTTGTATAAATATATGCACATATTTTAAGGAAGGTGTTACATATGAGATGGATGGACTGTGTGAAAGATGGTAAGAACGGGAGTAAATAACAAGATGGCTGCGAATAGGGATAAATCAAAGTGAAAAAAATGTTACGCCGACCACAAATAAAGGGGATAAGGAAGAAGCAGGTGATCATGATATTTTGAGATTTAACATAGCCTATGTCTGTCCTGGTGAGAAATATATCTTCATTGGAAATTCCGCGTTCAGCAGTTTAATCATAGAAAGGTAACAAACAACCACATTTTAAACAATTAACCGCAACTTTGTCTAAGCTTTTGAGATAAATAATAGGCTATATGATGTAATCTATCTACATTTCAAATTTCATTAAGATTTGTTCAGCTGTTTAATCAGCAAAAAGATAGTAGCAATAGACATTTGCATTTCAAATATTAGTATCGATCTCCTGCCCCATTCAAATGGCGATATCATGATGACCTGAGCCGAGGCTCGAAACCCTTGCAGTGCTTTCTGCAGCAGGAGTTGGCCTGCAGCCGCTTTATAATTATTTCCGCGGATTTGACCTTTTGGCCTTTGCCGGGTTACGGCTAACATTATTAGAATAATTAAAAACAGTTTAATGATGAAAATATATTTTTCTTTTCTTTCCATGCAGTTTCGATAGCTATTTCAATTGATGTTGTCTCAATTCGTATATGTAATCATGATATACTCTGAAGTATTAATATTTAACTTTTTATAGAACTATCAGCCAAGTATACTATAATATTCATAACGACAGTGCAACGTTGTGTTCTACGTTCATACAGCAACTTCTCAAGTGGCAACACTAAAACTAGATGAGAAAAAGACCAGTAACTTTTAAGAGAGAATGAGCAGTAAACTTTTCAGTTATGACATTCTATTTTTTGACAGTAAAACTATTATAAGCCAAATTGAAATCAAAATCACAGAGATAATAATTATAATATTAACTCTGGACAATTCACACAGCGTCATCTAGCCACAAGATGAGCAGAGCTTGTATTATAGGACTACTAAAACGCAAAATCATTTTTTCAGACAAACAACATACAGATGGTTGTACAATGCGAGGAATCGAACACGCGACCATCGGAATTAAAATATGTGCTAAACCGCTAGACCACGGAGAACTCTTTAACTAAGTATGTACTTATTATTTAAGTGTATTCAGTGAGCATTAAGAATTGCTAATTTAAAAGTTACTCAATCGATTTTGATAATTTAAGAAGTCATCTGCAGAATACTATTACTGCGGGAGAATGTCTGATAAATTTCAAAAACATGTCCCAAAGACGGCTCTTGCATAGCTAAACAGGACGTAATATATGCTAAGGCGATTACAAAATTATATACATGTCTACGAGTATATCTCCGATGACGACCACCAGCTTCGGTGCTCTAGCGGTTCACCACACCGCTTTACTTCTGATAGCCGCGGGTTCGATTTCTCGTACGGTACAAACATTTGTATTCATGAGTATGGTTATTTGTATCGGTCTGTGTGTGCTGTATAATATGTATTTTAAAAAAAATGTAAGTATTTATATCTGTTGTGTAGTACCCATAACACAAGCTCTGCTTAGCTTGGGACTAGATAGCGCCGTGTTAATTGACCAGGTTTATTCATTTATCTATACTAATATTATAATCATTGCTGAAGAGTTCGTTGAACGCGCTAATCTCAGAAACCAATGGTTCAAAATGAAAAAGTTTTTAGTGTTGTTTAATCCGTATGTCTGGGAAGATTATAGGCTATATAACGTCACGCTACGATGAATAGAAACAGAGAAATAATAAAAAAAATGTTGCAAAAATGGAGAAAATGTGACTCAGACGATGCGCGTGTCAGTCTGAAATGAAATATTTAAGTTTTCATACTAAAGTAAGCATGTGACCCGCTCAGTTTGTATTGTTATTTTTAATATCTACCTTTGTGTAAATGGGAATGGTATTATTTCATGAATACTATCACTGGGCTACAGCTTTATAGCAAAAAATTGAATTTTTGATGCATCAAAATTTTATAATGTAAGCTACTACTAATCTACTATGAAAGAATTTAAAAACTCAATGAACGTTATAAAACTTAGGGATCACCTCCCAGCAATGGTATTACCGACCCGATACGATATTAGAATAATTAAAAAAGAGCTAATTCCTTCTAAAAAGGCCGGCAAGCATTTTAATTCCCTTGTTGTTGCGGGTATTCATGAGCGGCGGTAATTACTTACCGTCAGAAAAAAAAAACACTTAACGAATCCAAGCGTGCAGTACTGCCGACAGTAGCTAATCTATTTAATGCAATTCCGATGTATTACACGATGGTGGTAACTCTGTATTGGTTGCCAACCTTAAAACTTTTTGCATCGGACGAAGAAATAAAAAAAATCTGATAATATCTCGTACATTAGCTGAATTTGGCTTTCTAGCAATAGCTTAAGAATTATAATACTTGTTATATAAATAAATAAATAATAATACTAAAAAAACTGTGAAACATATAAAATTATCTAAAAAAACCCCGTACATCTTTGTGTTTTGACTGTCTAAATTTCACACTGAAAGCTAAAAAATCTCGTACTTGTATGAGAATCCTGGTACGGTTGGCACCCCTGGCGATATACAAACACACTATGAAATCTAATACAATATGTATGAACGAGTCTGGATGTTGAAAACAATGTACGCACCTCTGTTAGGGTATATCGTTTTAACACGTAATCCGAGTAATGTAAATATTTAATTAAATTTTAGCGGCATATCATCGGTAGTATATCTTCACGCCCTTTTTTTGTTTATATCGTGCACCCAATGCTATAACGATACACACTAGGGTGCATCAGTGAAGGATAGTAATGGGCATGAAGTCAGTCCAGCTAGGCCATCGTGGGCAATTCAACTGCGTTAATAGTTTACGCTGCTGGAGCTCCAGTAGAAGACGAGGATGAAGTCATGAAGACAGTAGCAGAAAAATAGCCTCGGTGATCTAGCGGCTCAAGACTTAGTTTAACTTCCGTAGATCGTAGGTTCGATTCCTCATACAATGCAAACTTTTGCTGATTGTATATGTATGATTGTTTGTAACGATGATTGTATTGGTGATTTCTAGGTATATTTTTAAAAATATATATAGTTGTGTAGTACATGTAACACAAGCTCTGTTTAGATTGGGACTGGATGTCGTCGTGTGAATTGTCCAGGGTTTTTATAATTATTATATAAAACATGTAACTTACGTGGTAAGTATATCGTAGACCGTATATCTTGCGAGGTAGGAGTAGTGATGTAGTTTGCGGATGCTTTGCGCTAAGAGTAGGAATCGTCGATCTGCCGACACCGAGAACGAAGCCGGTTCTAGCACTCTCTGCAAAGAAAAATATAAACTATAACGTATGCCTATATTTATAATATTTATGTCAACACTCGGCACCCTTCCATTTATTTACTTCGCAACATATCTTAGATTAAACTTCAGTTCAAATTATGACTCCACACCGAATGTACGCGTTACTAATAAGTCATGTAGCACACTATCAAATAAATGTATCTCAATTATTACACCTATTAACACTACCTAGATACCACAAGAAACAAATATACTGAGTTGCGATATCAAATATATTGATGAATGAAAAGAATTTTTCTAAAATAAAAGTAACATAAATTACTCCTTATTACATCAGCTACCTGCCAAAGAAAATCCCGTCAAAATCGGTCCAGCCATTTCAGAGATTAGCGGAAACGGACAGAACCAACAGACAGACAAAAATTTAAAAAAATGTTATTTGATGTACCGTATTCATATTCATATGCATGTAGTAAAAAACGGTTATTTCAATATTACAAACAGACACTACAATTTTATATATATGTATAGATATAACGCTAGTATAGCTGTAGTGAGGTGATAACCATCGCGCTACAAATATAATATTAAGGGTAAAATAACTTGCGTCGATGGTCAAGCGGTTTTACACACCGCCTTCCTTACGTTTGTTGCGAGTTCGATAATATCACCATAGAAACATTATTATTCATAAGATTTTTATTAGTGGTCTGGGTGTTCGTTGCAAAAAGGATTTTTATATTATTAGTACAACAAATAAGGCAATAACAGACCTAATGGTAAGTGGTAACCGTCGTATGTATACTACAGCACTACTGACACCAGGTTATCACGGGACGTCTGTGAGACCACTCATGCGCTGCCATTCGCGAAGATTAACACGTCATGTCTCTTATTCTGTGATTTCATTGCCTAATCTCTGACCAAACGAGCAAAACACAGCTTACAAAGAAAACTTCTTGGCGGCTGAAATAGGTGACTCTGAGGTAACACGTACACAGCCGTTTTCAAAGTCTTTGTAAATGAACTTGTGTTCACAAAAAAGTATTTTGGTATTTCTATCAGTTATTTAGTACAAATAATATTTTTTATGTAAATTTTACGTATCTATTATTTATGTAACTCCGACGTAATTTGAATCGATTATTTTGTACATTTGTACCTAATCACGGTTTCAGATTGTTATCTGGAAGGATTTTGCTTTATCATCGATTATCAGGCTTCATCTACGTAATACTATATTGTAATATGGATTTCGCGTGCCAGCTAGTGTGGAACACGCGAGTATTAGATAAGGATCGATTCACTACGAAACGACGATTGTGTTAAGTAAATCCATATCTGTACTTATATTATAAATGCGAAAGTGTGTATATCTGTATGCTTGTTACCATTTTGTATGTCTGAGGCTAAGAGGTATTCGGCGCTAATATACATGAATGCTCTTGGTAACGTCAATTTTCAAACCACATTAATTATGAGCACATAGGCGAACCTAGTCTATCGGACATCATCTTAATTCCGAATCCTTCCAGAACCCGGGTTCGATATCTCGCATGATCCGAACATTTGTATTCATAGGTATGATTTTTGATACAAACAATCATACCTATGAATACAAATGTTCGGAATGTCTGGGTGTTTTCTATGTACGTATTTACCTAACTGAGTTTAAGAATTCATATCAGTTGTTTAGTACCTATTAGGTACATAAGCTCTGCTTAATAATAGATGACGCTGTTTGAATTGCCCTAGGTTATTATCTGTACATACATATAAATAAAATTGAAGTGTCTGTTTGTAATACTGAAATAACCGTTTTTTACTACATGCATATGAATATATATACGGTACAAACACCAAAATAACATTTTTTATAATTTTTTTCTATCTGTCTGGACCGATTGCGACGACAAAAAAATTTACAGATAGCTGATGTAAAAAGAAGTAACTTAGGCTACTTTTATTTTAGAAATATTCTTTTATTTCAGAAAAATAAAGTTCAATTCCACGCGGACGTAGTCGCGGGAACAGCTAGTCTATAAAATTTTACTTGCTGATTCAGCTATGGTAAAATCTGTAATTGTTCTTTTCTGTCTCATTGATTCCATCTAACATATTTATTTCATGGTATGATAGTTAATAGATAGTTATGTGACTATGAATAATATATGTATGTAGATATTGCATATTATGGCTTAGGATATAGCGATGCCTACAAGCGAATGAATACTACATCTGCTTCTTAACAAAATAGACACAAGTATTTTCAACAAACTTATCAAAAAATTATACCAATTAAATCAGCCATAGAAAAACTGCATTGAAATCCAAGTTTAGGAGCAAAGTTTATTCATACAATATATACCTACACACACAAAGATCTCGACCTTAATTAACATCCCTTTTGCGTGGGGAGTTAATAAGAATAAATGAATGAAAGATTGAAAGAGAATGAAACATAAAGCAACTGTCCTAAATAATAGGAAAGCCCGTCCCATTATATGCGAGTGATGGTCCGTTGTCGACACTTTTCCTTGTTTCTTGCAATGTTTATATAATTGTGTAAGTAACACTATCATACTTTGATGCCAACAACGAATAATATCTGTGTTCTTTATAAATATATACTTATTTCATTTCGTCTAAATTGTTCTGGGATGGGTGCAAAAAAACTGCAACACAGTTTTTACAAACTAATGTAGTTGTTTACGATTTGATTACGATTGTCGATGATCCCGATCGCTCTGGTGATATCGAACCACTTAGCTTAAGGCTTAGTATATTAAGGTTTCTTTAGGGTCGGACGCGCACGTGATACCCCTGGTGTCTCATGCATCCATAGTTTACTTTCAGATGGGGCGTATGCTTGTTTGCCTTCATCGTAGTATAAAAAATGGTTACGAGTGACAATACGTTTGTTTTTCAAGTGTTATAACTATTTTTAGAATTATTAACTAGCAGTATCCGTGGTGTCACCTGCTCAAAAATGACATATGTTATTCTATTGTATAAGCTATATTATTGTAAAGGTTTAGTAAAATCCATTTAGTAGTTTTAGCGTGAGAAAGTAACAAACATCCCACCCATCCATCCACACTCACAAACTTCAACTTATGTTTTCCTACTGTATCCACAAAAAGTTTACTATGGAAATGAAATCGTAGTATATTGTGTCAGGTTGTTGTAAGTTTGTAACTACGTATAATGAATTCAGTCGGTGAATATTCAAATTAGAGCGGCGCCTGAGCGAGTTAGTCGGTAATCCTTTGTGCATACAAACATAGCCATGCAAGCTCAAACATGACATTATTTATTACTAACAATTGCTTGCAAATGTTGTAAATATACCTAATTCTATATATAAAGAGCTAGTTGTCGACTAACAGACTCATCATGAATGATAAGCGCTAGAAACTTACAATAAATGTAAATTTCTTCAGTGACTTTAACATTAACTAAGAAACCTTCCGACTAAAATAATAAAAATAGATGGACGCTTAGTATTTATTGCTCGATCTCGACAAAACTACTGAACGAACTGAACGGTTTTTGATCTTACCGAAAAATATATTTGAATAACTGAATGAAAAATAATAATATATATATATTAAATAACATAAATAATTTACCAATTAAGTTTCCTATCAGTTCTTCTCGACTGAGTTAGTAGCTAGTAGCTTGCCGAACTGAATGGTAGGGACAGTGATAAAAAACTATGATGTGCGTAAGAGGCCGAAAAAGGTCTTACATGAATAAATATTTATGGATTTGATTTGATTTGGTGAAATTTGATAGTAACAGAGTAGATAAAATTTGTCCCTTACACTAAGTAATATTAACAAATAGTTTGAAAGTTACAAAGATGGTAATAAACATGCCAAAAGTATCAACTTGTACACAGTCTACCTACTTCGATACTTATATCACAGATAATATAATATTACACTTCTATGTAGAGTATAATAATCAAGGACAGAACTAGACTGGGTGAATATTGGAATTCCATGATCACTTTGTTTATAATATATTTTTTTAATGGCCCTACAAGGCTATTTTTAAAAATTATAAATGTTGGCAATGCCTATGAGGCCAAGTGCTAATACGTCGACATTTTAATACATGCAGTAAAGTTCCGACCATTGGTCAAATCCTATCTATCCGAGTATTATCTGTGAGATCAAGAAATTCCGACCTCCAAGAGAATGTAGAATTTTGGAACGTTATTGAATGACGACTGAATTCTAATAGCGTACTAGAGTTCACGGAATATTGGATCTAATATTGAACGGAGTTATGTAATAAATTTGTTTAATATTTAACTATTCAATTTCCTTACGTTTATACATGCAGATCATGATTTGTAGTAGGTGGGTTGTTTTAACTTTAATTTATATACAACTGCTTTATTCTGATGTGTCTTATTTTGCTGAAGTCAATTTCATAAATCAATGGTTCGATCTCGTTTTGGTATCAGAATGAAACAGATTCATATCATATCAACGCTACACACATGCCTGTAATAAAATAATTAAGAACGAGATTTCATCCGCAGCACGAACACGCAACGAAATAACATGACAAATGAATTTAAAATTTCAATTTCTTAATTTTATGGAGAACTTTAATTAGTCACTTTTCCGTGAAATTATTACATTTTTACAAACCAATTTTGTCCTGACAAAACAAAATAGCCAAGTAAGTACAGGCACTATGGAGTTAATATATAAGGCAATAGTAATATTGATAAATTATTTACTTATTGTCTTGTACAGAATTAAAGTAAGTGAAATATATAACAGTAAGTACAAAGAAAACATTACAATGTTCCTGAACATTGCTTAATATGGTCAGGAAGCAAACACAGGCACATGACTTTGTAAAATTCTGCATTATCTTTTTAAATTATGGTGTGGTTCACCACTACACAATAAAAGAATTTTTATTGTATATCATTCAAAGACACACAAAGTCAAGTATTATTATTAAGAAACGAGTACCGTTTCAGTTGATTCAAGCGCATATTAATGATATACAAATTCATCATAATAACAGCGTACTGCTTTACAAAATTAGCGCCATTGGACAAAACAAAACGGATAACAATTACAAAGGAAATTATACCCTACTGCCAGTTATTAAAGAGGAATATTGCTGAACCATAATAATCGTGGAAGCCATTATAATTCTGGGTAATTAGCGTACGGAAACAGTTTGAATACACATTTTCTCGTTTCATTAATCATTGCTATTCAGAATGTACACTTATAATTGTAATGTTTTAAATTAACGCATCTGTTAAATACAGCTTTCAAGTCTTGGTGTACAAATGTAATGTATGTAGAACGTTTTTAAACACCACATGGTTGAATAACGGAAAAATAGATGATGGGACAAAGTTATTATTTAAGTTTCTCGTACAAAATACTATACTCGTGTCGCCATCGTTTTGGAAGGCAGAAACTTCCTAATGAAAACTTCTCAACAATATGTGACCTCTAGGTCTAGGTGTAGGTACCGCCTACTGCTTCATCATTTTTGGTCAGAATTCGGAGGATCGAATATGATAGAAAACACGAGCGATGTACCATATATTATGTACATTACAAAGTTGATAGATATATAATAGTATAAGATAATGAATCAACAACATATATACGGCAGTGTTTCATCTACTTCCACCGCCAGTAGTTTATTTTGAAAGCTGCGCTTACGCGCTACGTTTTGAGAACGAGATATAGCAGTTAAATTACAAAATTTTGAGAGTTATAATTCTCCTTATCCTCATTCCTGTTTCCTCCTTACAGCGCGTGTGACACAATGTATATTTTATAAATTTCATGAGATTTTTATCATGTGACTATTATAGTTACATAAAAAAACTTTTATCTTCAATGGAAAAATAGTAAATCAGCTGGAAAATTCTAGAAAATATACGCTGCAAATATTGCTACCGTTTCTGGCAGCATCGGAGACTAAATTGATGTCCAGCCAACAAGTGGGTATATAAATGGAGAGTTATGAGTGCTTTTAGGTATCACGTGACCAAGTATTGTGACAAAAATGTATTCGGTACTACAATGTTGGTGGCTTTGTATGATCTGTTCTCATATTATGTACTTACCTTACATTGTATAAATAAATAAAGTTGGATAGAACACCTAACTAGACTGATCCCGTACTAAGTGCTCTAAACAATTGATAGAAATATTTAAATATATTTTTACTAAATACCTATTTTATACTATTATTATACAGAAAACCAATTTAATTTTGTTTGTTTGTAGTTGATAAACATTTAAATGGGTTTTCATATATAATAGAAAGTAACAAAGAAAACACCTAGATCAGTATTTAAAATTTTGTACAAATGATCACACGGTCCCTAAAATGGAGTCATTATCTTAGGAAAGTTGTTATGTTATAGTCTAGCTGACACCCTTTTCTATTAAAAAAATAAAAATACTGTAAATATGGGTCCAATGATTATTCAATTAATTTCAGCGATGGTTGCATTCGGGGAAGCATGTAATCAGACCGTTAATCGATTTAGTGTCGCTAAAGGAATTCCTGATTGAGATCGTGGTCGAGAAATTTAATAGACCTAGTGTGAGGAGATACGCTGTTAGTTTAAGTAATTCGCTCTAATTTCATTAAACTATCAAGGAGCTGATACCCATACTTATAATGCTTATTGAGGTACTTTGGGGGGGTGGGATTAATAAAGGGAATTAGTGTCCCAATTTAGCTGGCAACATATTTGCAATTCCCCAGGTGTTGCAGATTCTCATGGAAGTAATCACAGGTGAGCTGCAAGCTTGTTTGCCCTCTAAACAAGGCGGCGGTTGCCACTTGCCGTCAGATTAGTAGCCAATCTATTACATAAAAAAACATTTCGTTGGTCATCTAGATCAAGATAAACATAGACATATATATGTACGAGTACATCACAACCACTCACGTCGATTCGCTGATTAAACAATTAATAATATTGGATTATTTGACAGTGACGTGAAAAAATGAATAAATAAAACATTTTTTATTGATTCATTTAGTGTATATTTTATGCAGTATTTAAAATAAATATAAACGTTCTGCACTCCTCTATATAAACTACCTATAAGTGTGCGAAATTTCATACATTTCATGCGTGCACCATTGCACACAAATTATTAATAATAATATTAATATTAGAAAAATAAAAAACTCATATCGCGTTATGAGCTGAAAGAGTTCTCCACTCAGCAGGTACTGCAGCGTGTCACTGTAGCGGTACCAGCAGTTAGTAATATAAAATTAGTAATTTTAAAATGTTTTACTTACAAATGTGGTGTTTGGCATCAGGGTTTTCGATGTTTGGTTGGCGGCAAACATGAGGCTTATACCTCCCGAGGTATCTCTGTACACGAACTCGTCACCTGTCGACAAAAAGAAATCCATTATATAAATCTATGAGAAACGATCACCGAGGTCACACATTTGTATTCTTAAGTATGAATATTTGTACTAGTCTGGGTATTTCCTACATACATTATGTTCTAAAAACATGTATTGAGGTATTTTTTAGGTAATTGGAATGCACTTATATAAAAACTAAAAGGTATATATTATATTTTATATTATAGTTATAAATTATAAATTACTACGTATTAAATCTGACATATAAAAAGAAATTAATATAAAACTTCAACAGTCTCAGTCAACTGTGCAACAATATCTAAATATTTATATCATTTGTCTAGTGCCCATAATACAAGCTCTGCTTACCGTGGATCTAGATGGCACTGTCTTAATTGTCCAGTGTTATTTATTATTATTATTTGTCTATATTTGTTAGCAATGTACCCATGTCAGTTCCAACTTCATGTGGTTTCCCCTGTTAAATCGAAGACTTAACTGATGTTATATCGTTTGGGTATACGGTACCATTAAATTTATTATTCATTTAAAAGAGAACACAAATGTCATTTAAGTAAATAAAGTGGATTCTTGTATGAACTGTACGGGAATAACGGAGACAAAATATTTCAGAGCAAACATAATCATCAAGTTAGATCAGCTAACTGATGCGACCCAATAAAATATTCAATGCAATCAATGAAAGAGGTTTAAGTAGGTTTGTGGAACAATCTGTCTGATATATAACTTGCCTGATATATAAGCAGTAGGGTTGCCATTATGAATTAAAGAAAGAAATTCCGAATGAATCATCGTAAAGCTACAGGCTTTCGATGATTCGTTACTCATAATTAAAGGTCAAAGAGTTAAAATTGTATTAGATCATTATCTTTACTATATTTTTTTATGCTATACATATTTAATTGTCGAGTTACTACGATCACAACATCATTGTACTGCAATAGATAGATTTTTATATATAGCTTAATAAAAATAGTATCAATAATAATTATCGAAATAGTTTTATAATACATTTTTTCTACATAGAATAAAAATTGGTGAGCGTAACAAGGCAATTTATTATTTAACTGGCTTTGCGTTAAGGTTCATATATACTATATCGTTAAATATTGGTCCCATAACACCAGAGACAGCTTAAAAAGCTCTCGGTCACATATAATGAAAAAAAGCTTAAATCTTAATTCTGAATATGAAGATGCTATGATATATGTAAATTATATATTGAATTAGTAAAACAAAATCAATAAATAATTAAACAAACAGAAATTTGTCATGTGACAACCCTGTAATCACCCAATACATTACCAAATGAAATGTATCCAATTGTTATTGCCGTATAAAAGTTTTTTTCAACAGTTCCTTAACAGAAGCCTTGTGTTTTAGCAAACTTTGGATATCTACAGCACTGGATCTCCATAAAGTAAGATGTTTATTTGTTTATTTCCAGTTTTTTCTTGTATAATATAACTTATGTATGAATTTATAGTCATAATAATAATATTGTTTACAACACTCACTCGAAAACGAATAACTTGGATAAAATGCGCGAATTATTTTATTCTTACTGTTGCAAACTATTTGCACATTTTTATATGTTTATTTTTATTATCACTTTTGCCTTGCTACTTTTTGTACTCGTATCTTCATTATAAGTATTTACCATTTTTTATCCATTGGTTGATTTATATCACGCATACAGTCCATTCATTCTATCGCTCACACTTACCCTTAACAGGAAAAAATCATAACTAGATTTTCACAAAATGTATACTACTACTTCATACGTCATTGTTGTGACGGTGACTATTTTGAAAATTTAGCAATATTGAGCATATTGCAAATTCATCCATAGTAATGCATACTGTCATAGTCTAGTATAGAGTATTATAAATGAGAAAGACCTTACCTTTTCACAACTAAACGGTTATATATTTCATAGTGGTTTCATATTTGATAGATAGTATCCCGAGTATTAGCCTACGTTAATACTCGGGATTTATTTATAATAATATTTATTTATAAATAATAATCTGGAGGTTCGGGTGAAATATGAAATGAAAGTATGTGCCGGTGTAGCCGTGGGTAAAAAACAGACTTATATGACGAAGACAAAGGCTACATTCATCTTAAATATATATATAATATATCGCCATCTAGTCTAAGCTGAGCAAAGCCTGTGTTACGGATTTAGTATCCACAACTGACACGAAAACTTATATACGTTTTTATCTTTTTTTGCAAACACATACGTTAGAAGTAAGTAGTTTTAACAACCTATTGCAAACATTGCAAGTTAAAGAAAAAAAAATTACTTGACCATAGCAAGTAAAAGAAAAAAAAAACACTTGACCGCGCCATAAAAATACTCAGACGAAAACGTGAGAACTTTCGACTGAAATTTCGGATTTATCATTTCGTGGTAGACTACCAGAATTGAATTACATTTATTACGGCCAATGTCTGTATTCATGACATGTCCGGGGAGATCGAGGTTGAACGATAAGCCAATATTATAATGGTACGACTATCTGATGTTATTGTATTCAGTATGCATTTGTACGAGTATAAACATAAAATATAATAGAACAGATATGCTTTAATTAAGTTTCATTGGATAAAGATTTATTCAATGAAACTTAATAAGAGCAATTTTAAATACTTAATTTACGTGATTCCATTTGCATTTTCGAAAAATAACAGAATTTATTTATTTGAATTCTTATAACTTTTAAAAACTTGCATGGAAATCAACAACCATAACATATTCTTTGTTACGCGTATATGTACGAGTCTAAAACACGGTTTTTGAAATTCGTGCAGTCGAATTCCAACAAACCAGATACTGTTTATCATTGATTGTTCATAGTTTATTTGTATGTTCATTTGTTTTTTTGTGAAGACTGACTTATATGTACGTATCCGAATAGATTGTTATTGTTTTAAGCTGTGTTCCATCAATTCTTTTGTAACTTTAACATGTAATAGCTAACTAATTAAAAAATATTATAATTTTTTTTGTTAAGTGTCACTTTGAGGGTTGGTATAAAAAAACACCCCCAAAAATATAGTTGTCGTTTTTTACACTTTCTAATATTGGAAAAATCTTAAAAATATATATTATAGTATATAACTATAATTAGTTTATTGATAGTCATATATGGTTTCAATTTCAAGAAGATATCTTAAATGGGTACTAAGAAAAAAAAAATGTCAAGGGGTGTCACTCCCCGTGTTCCCTTACCATAATCGTGTGAGATTGAGTGTATGGCTATTTTAGATGAAAAACAATAAAAACAAGGTAAGAACCCTTCATCAGATAAGAGATCAGTTCTCATATACTTAACCTGCTAGGTCCTTTAAATTACTTATAGTAGAACTAATATTACTGTCGACTATTAGTAAAATATATAATTTATATTTGTATATATATATATTATGTACATATACAATTTGTGAACTTAATCGTATGTACCTACTGTATTCCGCTATTGAAATCTGATTAATGGATCCCATCACTAACCACTTCAAATGGAAGGCAGAGTTTCTAATGTAGTTTATGAAATATAAATGAGATCATGTCATGTTATTGACTTGTAATGTTGGTGATACTGGCATAATAGCTACTACTTACTACGATCGCCGTTTAATGATAAAAGTATTACATACATATTAATATATGAAGCAAACACTTTAGATACCTTTATACGAAAATTGTACAGACGAGGAGCACGAAATTTCGCAAAGTCATAGTTAATATAGAGAAGAAGTGTAGAATGCTGTTTCTTTTTAATTATTCATAAAAATGTATTAAATCTATAAAAAAACATTATACAGACTACAATATATTTGGCACACCCTCACGCATATACCTACTCCTTGTTTATTGTTAAAGTCTGTGATTAAATTGAAAATAGATTAATATTGTTCGTCTTAATATTATTTGTCTATAGTATTTGACAATAGAATTTTAATAATGTTCAAAATTATAATTTAAATCAATTATGGTCGAATTTCGACCACTGGGCCAGTAAATTACATAAGCAATGCACCATAACGAGTCGTCTTTGCCGGATTAAGCATATATACGATGATATCTTAGGAACTTTAGGTCCGTCAGGGCTCAGAACGGTTGAACACTTTTACAAACCTTGTGTTATATTGAAGTTTTAGTAGGGGTCCCATATATTTCTAGTAAGAAATATTGTCAACACTACTCAAAGATAATGGAATTTTGTAATAGTGAAAAAAGTTATTTGATGTGGGTCCGATAATTTTTTAGTTTATTCATTACAAATATATAAACATTTCCTTTTAAACATTAATTTTATAATATGTATTGGCGCAGATATTATATAAGTAGAATTTGTACATGAGCGGACGGTGCGGAACTTTTCACTTTTAAGAAACACCTGCATTCAAATAAAAAAATCTTAAATCGGATTACGGTATGGTAGAATAAAAGTAATAATATAACACACACTAAAAATACAGTGGAATTGAAAACGTCCACCTATTTCAAAGTCTGCTGAAAACGTTATAAGTACGTTGTTTATTTATTACCCTTTTATAACCCTTTATTCACCCCTTAATCCATTATCATATTTGGCACATAATGTATGTATCTCTATTATACTTTGCATCTGTTAGCGAAAATACACTAAGGCATTTCATCCAGGTCAGTTATTGTTACGCGAAGGAAGTACATGATTACGTGAAGAAAGCCACGAGCAGAATCTAGTCGTAATTCTTCAATCTAGAGTACTAGAATAAAAAAGTTTTGAATATATATTTTAATATACATAGTATACATAAACAAAGTGCCGCCTGTCTGTTCCCTCAAATGTGTTAAATTACTGAACTGATTTAATGCGATTCTGAGCAATTGGTAGAGTAATTCAAGAGGACAGTTTATATGTATAATAGGTACATGCGTATAATAGTACAGAGAAGATTAAAAGATTTGTAACGCGCCAGTGCGAAACAATGATAAAGAAAGTCA